GTATTAAACCAAGAGAAGTATATGTCCATGATTCCTAATATCGTCTAGTATCATTTGATATTCGTTTTTATTAGAAAGTCATCTCATAAAAGTTCATTAAAACTGAATTTTAGTTTTTGGTTTATTTGTTTGTTTTTTATAAGTTGCTCTTAGAAACATCTTGGTGTAGTAAAAAAGGATATGAGCTTTGGAATTACAAAACTGTGTTGGAAACTGAACTTACCTCTCACAAACTGTGTGACTTTGGAAAAGCATGTCATCTTCTTTGGGTTTTAATGTTTTCAACCTTCAAATTGGGGATAATAGGCCCTGTTTATAAGATTGAGAATTAAAATATAGTATGCTTGCTTCTTTGCCTGAGACATTGTAAATATGCCATGCTGAATATTAATGTATTTCTTTCATGTTTTATAGGCAAGGATCACATATATAATTATCTTTTGATAGGACTTACAGCAATACTTATAGGTGTATTTGGAGTTGCTTATTAATATTATTAATACTGATCCCTACATTACTGTATGATTGAAACAATAAAAGAAAATAAAAATGGCTAGTTATGATTAAAAGAACATCAACTTACAAAACATTCTTTGTCTACACAAATGGCTTCCATTCACTTAGATAAAATGATATCAATCTGTTGTTTTAATTCTGATGCTGTTTATCATAAAATGCAATATCATGCTTTTCTAAATGGAGATGTGTTAGATTAGTCAAGTAGGATTTATAAAGAATCCCATCGAGAGATTTAGACTCAAAAAATATCTATAGAATTTTTAAAAATTTTGTCCACATATCACTAACATTTTCCAATTCTGCATCTTTAAATGTCTATATATACGGTGCTCCTATACTAGACTAGATATCAACAGGTATATCCCTAGGAAGCATATTTTCATAATCTCCTTCCCAAATGTGAATGGGTTAGCAAATGTTTCAACACGTTCCCTGGCTTATTGCCCCAGCACTTTCGCTTGGATAATCCTTACTCACTTCAGATACTCTACTCAGCCGTGATCTTCACCAGGAGGCCATTCTTTAGTGAAGATGCCAATCTAGATTCTGTGCTCTGTCCTCACTGCTCCCTTAACATCTTGTGCGTACCTCTACCTCCACTGAAATTATCTCTTGGCTTGCCTATTGTTCTTACCAGACGCCGCCTTTTTCACTTGTTCACACCCAGACACCAGCTGTATCTGACACAGTTGGTGTTCAATAAATGCCCGTTAAATGAATGGAAAGGATGATTTAATGAAAGAAGATATAGTGCTCAAGTCACTCAGAGCCTAAGCAGGTGACCACACGTCTCTCTACCCAGTTCACTGTAATAATAATAGCTAACATCAACAAAGCACTTATGATGTTCTGGCATTGTGTCCAGTGATTTATGAGCAACATATTTTCTATTCCTATGGGCTGAGTAATACTAACATTATCAGTATCACTTCAGAGACAAATAAAATTAAGTTTAACCATGTTAAATAAGTTGTCCAAGACTACTTGTTTGGAACCCAAGTTAACTTGGCTCTAAAACGTGTGCTCTTTCTACCTGCTAGGATGACTTCCTTCTTTTATTGAAGCTCCTCAAATTCTACGTGTATAATTTGGACACCCACATATTTATAAAACGCGAAAGACACAATAGTTTCCTTAGGTTTTGATCGATATAATGATTTTTTTTTAAGATAGAGTCCCACTTTAATTAAGAAGAAAAACAAGGTGAAGCCTTCAATCACATATTTCATCTGCAGCTGTGCTTTTCATATTTAGCTAAACAGTAATCCAATTGGTAAAATGAGGTATTTTGTTAATCAGATACTATGGGTAGTGATTGCCCTAAGTGTCATTTGGTATTTTCTAGTTTGCAAAAAAAGAATAAAAGAGTCACTGTACTCACAACTCACATTAAACACTAGATAAAGCACAATTTTTATGTGATGATTCCAAAGGTTGTTCAGAATCTTCTAATACTTCAGGATATTCACAATGACAATACTTTTCATTGTAATGTCTTGGAGGTGACAGGTAAAAGAATTTTTTTGGTGAGGAAGATTAGCCCTGAGCTAACATCTCTTGCCAATCCTTCTCTTTTTGCTGAGGAAGATTGGCCCTGGGCTAACATCTGTGCCCATCTTTCTCTACTTTATATGTGATGCCGCCACAGCATGGCTTGATAAGTGGTACGTAGGTCTGCGCCCAGGATCCGAAGCCACCAGCCCCAGGCTGCCAAAGCAGAGCGCACAAACTTAGCCACTGTGCCACCGGGCCAGCCCCAGAAATTTTTTGTTTTTGAAATTCCAGTAACCTGCTCTTACTAACTTTACCCTTTAAAAAATGCCCCAAGCCCCGAGTTCTCTTAATTATTTAAACACACACAAACAAACGTCTTTATGGCATTTCACAAATATATAGTTATTTAGAGAGAAGGCATCCTCTCTTTGACATTTTTCAGTCTTATTGAGCAACACTCACAGAGGGAAATCCACAGGTATTTGTCTTCAATGCAATCATTAGTAACCTGTTTGGGTAATTGAACTGTCAACTTGGCCCCAGCCGGGATCCCCTGGCCATTAGAACATTTGTTTGCTTTGTAGTAGTCAGTGCTTTCATTTTAATATGCCTTGTTAGTGCAAATAACACTGCCTCAAAACTGCTATTAAGGAGAAAAAATGCTCGGTGCTACACATGAGAATAAACTGCCAAAGTAATGTATATGTAATTGGAATGATAAGTAATCTGTCACTAAACTCGATATACCAGTTTTATTTCTCCTACCAGAAATCTCCACCCTGAATTTCTTATGCTCTAGCTGTCTTTGTTAAGCATAAATATTTTAAATTTTAATTTTTCCATGTGTAGTGTATTGATGTTTTGTAACCTGATTTGTTCCAGAATCCTATCCCAAAATATTCACAGCTGGATGGAAATATAATGCATTTATGCAATTCTAAGAGTTACTTATGCTTCTTTTGTTGGAAAATGTGTCCTTACAAAACAAAACAGTTACGTATATTCGATACAAATGCATATTTCCTTGGAACTTCTTTTACAAATGAATTCTGGGTCCAGTCTGACCATGGCTGAGACCAGCAAACCAAGATGTCAAGAACTTCGGGGAGCATAAGTAGCTAATGTTACCTCAGATTGACCAAGAATAAGGTCTCAGATTCATTGCAGAAAGGCAACAATGCAGTTGCTAGTTCAATCAGTCTGTAGGTGACAAAAATTAAACTGAAATTTATTATAAAGAGACTTCTCTTCCTCAGTTGGAGAAAGAGCTGTCTTTGTCTAGCTTCCATCCTTCTTGGACACTTGCTAAACAACATACCCCGATGTTTTTGTTGTTGGAAATTGTCAAAGTTGCTAAGACAAGGCTTGATTTCAATAGAAGAATAAAGCAAATAGAATTAAATACAGCCTGCTTCTGTTATTTAGGACGATTATTTCTTTCTTTATGACTCTCTGTAGGAAAATTAAAAGGGAGCTTCCTGCTTTTTGATTACACATATTTAACTGCTTAATGCATTCTTCAATGAATAGTTAATAAAATACAGTACTTGAAATGACTTGGTTTTCATGTTCAGTTATTTAGCATTTACAGTTTATTAGGGAGCTGATCTGTAGTTTGACCTCCAAACAGCATTCCTAGGCCCCCAGGAAACTAGATATGTGATATAATGTTTAGATTGTTAGGAAGCTAATGTTCGCACCTTACCATCAAATTTGCCATAGTTTATGGGGTAGTCTTATATACTCAAACCCTAAGCATGATATTTGATAACTCCTAAAAACTTAAACTGCTATCAGATTTACACTGGTATATATGGTTTTTACATAATAGAAGGACTGAGGAATCCAAGAGCAGGTTTGGAAAGAATAATTCAGAAATTAACATTTCTAGGATTGAACCTCCCTCATTTGGAGGTGCAAACACAAAACCTGATTTTGAATATTTTCCTTGAGCAGCAATAACAGCTAGGTCTTAATCTTTCTGAGCTTCTCTAACAAACATACAATAAACCATGTGGCATTTATTCCTTATAGTTCCAGAACCTGGGATGTCCAAGATCATGGTGTTGATAGACTTGGTGACTAAGTTTTTGTTGTAACCTCACATGGTGGAAGGGACAAGGGATCTCTCTGGGGCCTCTTATAAAAGAGCATGAATTCCATTCATAAGGACCCCACCCTCATGATCTAATCACCTTCCAAAAGCCCCACCTCCTAATACCATCACATTGGGTATTAGAATTTCAACATATGAATTTTGAGGGGGACACAAACATTCAGACCATAGCAAGCTGTCGCACTAAAGATAAAATCTGAGATGAGCCCAGGCCCTCCCTGAAAACCTGGTTCTGGGCTGCATCAGATAGCACATGCTCTGAGTAATCAGGAATTGAAGATCTGGAAGCATTTGATCAAGTGGGGAAAAGTACTATCACTAGAAGGCAAAGACAATTCTGGCAGGCTTCTCTGAAGTACTAATTCATTTATTTATTTATTCATTAACTCCAACAAACATTTGGTGAGGACCTACCATGCACTAGTTAGTGGAGATCAAGGCAAGCTGTGGAAGCAACAACCTGTCAAGTTTAAATTGAGGACTGAGAAAAGGGTCAATAGGCCCCAAATAAGAAGTAATTCTGGAGGATAGGAAAGAAGTAGTCCAAGGATGTATGCAAAAAATATGTTCGGATGGGCATGGCGAGGGAGAATGGAGGGATAAAGTTAATGTCTGGATCCATATCAGTTCATGGAAAAATGAGTAGTTACCCAAAAACAATTCTAGATCCAAAGTCAATGGTAAGCTTAATACAGATGTGAGGAGCAGGAGCTCACGTGTTTCAATCACGAGACAGTCAAGTCAGTAAGAGCACTACGGTAGATGTGAGCTTGCCCTGGGGACACGTCCACCTGCATGTTTGCCTTAGACGCACACACTACCCCCCTTTTTTGAATAAAGGAGATATATCATTTCAGATTATAAAATCCTACCTGTTTGTTTGCTAAAATTTGCTGCATTCTAAAGACTAGAAACTCTCAACACCCAGGAGTAGTCATTGTTTATAATTACCTGGCTTCCCTTCCTCAGAGGCGTATTGCTCCATATAGTAGAGCATGCCATACACAACAATTTGGTCACTTTCTTCACTTAACATCACCAGTTTTTTCTTAAATAATATAATTTCAGTAACTGCATAAGAAAAGTTCATTTTTTACCTTGTGAAGGCATTTTCTCTCTTTCAGATAATATCTCTTTCAGATAATATCAGATAATAGTCCACTCATGGACTGTGATTTTATCTATCAATCTTCAGCTGATCAATTCACATCAAAGAAAAATATCAGGATCAAAAAACTTTTCACTATAAAAATATAGTTCCTGGGGGCCGGCCCGGTGGCGCAAGCTGTTAGGTGCATGCGCTCCACTGTGGCAGCCCGGGGTTCGCCGGTTCGGATCCAGGGCACACACCGACGCACAGCTTGGCAAGCCATGCTGTGGCGGCGTCCCATATAAAGTGGAGGAGGATGGGCACGGATGTTAGCCCAGGGCCAAAAAGCAAAAAGAGGAGGATTGGCAGGTGTTAGCTCAGGGGCGATCTTCCCCCCACCCTCCAAAAAAAAAAAAAATACAGTTCCTGTATAAAAACAAGGGGGAAAAAAAGTTACCAAAAAAAGGTAACTTTACTCACTAATTTTACCTCTGGTTTGCTTTTTCTTCCTTGTTTTTCACTGAGTATGAGTTTGCATCAGCACAAGTTTGCCTAGAGTAACTCATCAAGGGTGTGAATCTTGTGGTCTCCTATGACTTTTCAGATCCTTCTCCCCAAAACCCCAAGTTCATCTAGATATAAGCATAAAATGAAAAAAAAAAAAAACATTTATTCCTGAATAAAAATTCATTTAAAAATATATATGCATTTTGGGTATATATAATATTAAAGGAGCTATGTATTCAGTTCTATATGCAAACTGTGTCTTCTATACACAGATATATGTCTCTATTGTGGATCTTAGGTAGAGCATAATATTCTCACCAATAAATCTTGCTGCAAATGAACTATCAGCAACTCCTACCCAGGCTTGCTAAAATCTCATGCCAAGCTCCTAGGTACCATTTAAAGAATAATTACCCTAAATAGAACACTTTATTCTTTTCAGCCTAGATGATTTATAGATAAAATCCAGCCAGTATTAGATTATTTCTAACGTATTATTATTAATAATAATGTTGGTGCTAATATTAATACAACACATTCCATGGGCCTCTTTGGGAAATGCTATTTTTACTCTGTTAAAAAACACAAGTATTGGGGGCTGTCCAGTGGCGCAAGCGGTTAACTGTGCATGCTCCACTTCGGCAGCCCAGGGTTCGGGGGTTCAGATCCTGGGCGGGCACTGATGCACCACTTGTCACGCCATGCTGTGGCGGCGTCCCATATAAAGTAGAGGAAGATGGGCACAGATGTTAGCTCAGGGCCAATCTTCCTCGGCAAAAAAGAGGAGGATCGGCATCAGATGTTAGCTCAGGGCTGATCTTCCTCACACACACACACAAAAAAAAAAGTATTACAAAGATGATAGTTGGAACTGCAAGATAGATGGAAATTCAGTCCAATTTCCTGCAGGTCTGTAAGAAACTTAATGAACTTATATCCTTGACAACTTGTGATTTAGCTGCTAAGATCTACCTTTGAGAAAAATGATATTCCCCTGTGTTACTCAAGAGCATAAGATGAGTTTTGGGTTGCCAAAGCTTGCAGTAAAATTTTATGTAACCATTATCTAGAGCATGGAACTTGCCTAATACCTTACCATCAATGAATTATGCATGTCAGTTTCTATACGCATCCTATTTTTATGTTTAGTCTTTAAGCATATTTATAGCAGGGTTCCCATAAGCTCATTATGCTGTAAATACATTAAAAAAAAAGTATTCTGTGTCACTGATGGAAAATACAAAAAAGTCTTAAGGAGGGTCAAATTTATATGCATTAATATGTGACCAAAACCCCCAACTGAGATTCACCATCAGGAGTTGAAGTCATTCAAAGACATAAACTGAAGATTTACTGAAATCTCTGGTATATACAGTTCCCGGACACTGTAAATTAAAGTTTAGGGTTTAGGGAGTAAATTTATAAAGTTTAAACATTGAAAATATCAAATAGGAAAGCAGTCCTTAATCTTCAGAGCCGGAATCAATAAATCCAAGGTAAGAATTTCCTGATGACAAAGTCCTCTTTATCCCTATACATTCTTTTTACTCAGTTTATATAATGCTGTATTGGGAGGCCAAAGACCAACCCTAGGTTTAGTGATTTGCTAGACAGACTCAAGAATCAGCATAAGATTTATTACAGCAAAAGGGTAAAGAGTAAATCCAGCAAAGAATGAAGGTACATGGGGCAAAGTCCAGAGAAACTAGGCCCAAGCTTCCAAAAGTCTTCTCCCTGTGGAGTCATACATGGGACATGCTTAATTCCTCAGCAACAAATAGTGCTAACACATGTGAAGTGTTATCTACTGGGAAAGCCCATTTGAAATTCAGTGTCCAAGATTTTTATTGGGAGAAGTTCACACAGGCACCCCCTGCCTAGCATGTACCAAAATTCCAAATCCCAGAAGGAAAGCAGGTGTTCAGCACAAACCACATTGCTTGTACAGTTTAGGCACAATGAACTGTGCTTCTCAGTTCTGGGAATGGTGGGAATTCTCCTGGAATTCAAGTTCCCAGATACTGGTCAAGGGCCAGTCTTCAAGCAGGCCTTTCTGTGTTAACTCTCCTCTGCACAAACGCCATCTTAGGTAATTAGGTGTTTCAATTCATATGTATTTTTATCATATCACTTAAGACTAGTTTCATCTTGACAATACAAAATGTGTGTTCAAATGCAGAGTTGGGAAGAAATGTGCAGTAGCACTCTTATACAGAATTCCCACCGTATAGAGTCAATAGATGTAAATAACCTCAAGAGAAGAGATAACGGTAAGATGTAGTAAAATAGGAAGTGATGAGTTTTGATTTTAATTTTACTGATTTTGAATAACAGTTATGCTTGACATCTGGCTCACAAAATTCCTGAAAATTACCCTTCAGTGAGCAGGCTCACCCCAGTAACACAAGCACTTAGCAATCCTCTGCTCTCATCATGTCTACTAACATCCTATCCACCAACTCTCAAAGTCGAGGGATTGGGGAGTATACTCCTTCCATGAGGGTCGGGGAGAAGGAAGTAAAGTTTGTTGAAAAAAATTCTAACCTATCACACAAACTCTTATTTTGAGTACTGTTTTACAGTTTTCATTTGTATTATTTAATTCTAATTGAATTTTATGGATAAAGAGATTAAAGTCTTGGCTTTGTCCTTAAGCCAGCATCATTCACTCAGTGGTAGAATATAGCCAAGAGGCAGGGGAGGGAGGTATTTCTTAGTTCTAATTTTATTTAGGTGCCCCAAATTTAAACTCAGAGCAATATCGCTCAACAAAGAGTAAAGCTAACTTTGCCAAGAGGCTTGTGAACTCTCACTGGACTTTGAGTTTATAGTTTCTAGGCAACTTCCTTCCAAAATTCTGTTTAAGGTCTCTTCCAATGCATTATGCTGCTTGAAATGGAAGAATTTCCAAGTCTCTAGTCCACCGAGTCTGCTTCCAGCTTGTACATGCCTTGCAGCCTCTAAAATCTCAACTATGTAAAAGTGTTTATAAAGCTGGACCACTTAAACCAATCCCATTTGATGATCCACTTCTTTTTTGTCTTGGAGAAGCGTAGCCAGCTCCTCAGGCCAATGACTATATGCCCTACCGCACATGAGAAGTCTTTATTTTATACGAAGTAATGCCCACACTGGTAATAAAAGAAGAAGAGGTTGACATGTCAATAGAGAGAATCCCTGTGTGATTTACATTCAGTTCCTATCATCACCAGAATCTTTAACATCTCTTAAAAATAGACTAGTTGCCTCAGAGAGTTTTCTTTCTCCAAGATTGTAGAAACTCATAGAAGTGACCGTCCACTCTCCTTTAGTGTTGAAGAATGTCTCCAGGAGACTTTTCATTAGTGAACAGCTTTAGGGTTTATAGACAGTCAATACCACAGCTGCCACTTCTCCCTCTAGTCTAGTCTCCTTCTTGTCTCCGGACAATTTTCCTTTGTGCCTTATCTCCCAAACTAAATTGTAAAGCTCTTCAGGATAAGAACTTTATCTTATCTGTCCATTCTGTCATTTTAGACTCCTTTAAAGTCTACATTTCTGTGGTAGGAAGGACAGGCACAGAAGAACAGGAACAACAACAGTCACTGTCTATAATTCTTCTGTTATAGTGCTTAAACTTACTTCTCAGTCAGGGATTCATTTGCCTATGGAGCACTCATTAAATCCACAATTATTTCATGCCAACACGTGTTCCAGGGTTGCTAGCACAGGATATCCTCTGGGATCTTGCCCTAGGTTTATAACTTCACCCCCGCTTTGACCTTGACAGAAAACTATCTGCTTTCCTGCCCCTTGTTTCACAGTTTATGCTTTCTGATGTGTTGGATATTCTGTGTAGAGTTGCCATATTCAGCCTGCTGGTACTCCAAATCCCAGTTTCAGCATGACTTCCCCTATAAAATTGTCCTTGATCCCAAAGTCCGGGTTAGAGACCTATCTGTGTTTCCACCATATGATATGACTATGTCTACCTTGATATTGACCATACTGTAATTATTGACTATTCTGCTTGGCTCTACTAAACTGTAAGCCCCTTAGTGACAGGAGCCCTGCTATACCCGGGTTTTTGTTTCCAGAACCTATGGGTTCTAGCACAACATATGCCCTCAATACATGCTTATTGAGTAAATCAATGAACATTTAAAAAGTTGTAGAGATGCTTCTGCTAAGGGGGTTAATATGACTCAAGGTTTTTCACTTTGTGTGTGTTTTTTCTTATACAATTTCATCTACGAAGAATGTTCTAATTCCTCCCCCTCTTCCTAAATTCTATTGATTCTCCAGGACCCTGCCCTAGGGCCACCCACTGCAGTTCAGGAGAGAATATTTAACCCACTGAACCATTCTCTTGAACTTCATAACCTGTTGCCTTAATAATCTATGTTGTATTTTTTCATTCTATATTTTAGTAACTTTTTTCTGACTATAAAATACAAGTTTATTTTGGAAATTAGAAAGTATAAAGCAAAAATAAAGATAATATGTGTTTCCTTAGTTGGAGATGATGATTGTAAACATTTTAGAACTTTCTTGTCTGTGTGTATATTTATGTATAATTAAGAGTAACTTTTTACACTTTTGTGCTGATTTTTTTCCATTAGTATTGTATCATGTGTACTTTCACTATCTTGTCTATAAAGTATGGGGAAAAAAGATGTAAAGATATTTCTCCATTTGAGATTGTCACTGTCAGTAACATATTTGCATACTAGGCATGCTGGCAATCGTCTTGACTCTGAATCCCAGTGGAAATCTAAATAGAGATGAAGAGTAACTAAAATAAAGCTTTATACTTTTTGAAATATAATCCTTTAGTACAGCTAAATCTGATAAAAATTTTCAAAGAGGAATTCCATAAGTTCCATAAAATCTCAAAGGGAAATTCCAAAAAAAAATAATACCATAAGTATCTGAAATAGCCATTGATATTAAAATTTTTGAGATTAAGATAAATTGTTCTATTTGCTGCCTTTTGGATTGTTAAAATCAGCCAACTCTCTCACTAAAGGGTAATGTTTTATTGTCATCATCACCATGTTCTTAGTGGGTCCACACTGACTAAGGACATCCTTCTGGGTGTCTATTTCAGACCCCTGATTAGCTTTGGCAAAATAAATTAATTATTATGATCTGGGTAAAGTAAGATATACTTCATTACGAATTTGTCTTTTTCAGTTCTCTCTTCTGCACTAACTTTTGAATATTTCACGTGATGTCTAGATTCTTCATCTATAGTCTACAATTCGAATAATAAGGGGTCAGAGATGGAGAGCAGGGATTGGGGAAACAAAGAGATATTTAGAAGACAGAATTGCTAGGAATTAGAGTAATCAAACAGTCGAGGTGCCCAGACATAGAAAGCACTTAAGTATTGATTCTTATTACTACTCTTGATAATATTTTGATTGACACTTTGAACAAAATGAGACTATTATCTGAATATAAAATATGTTACTAAGGATTTTTCCCATTACAAAAGCAATATATGGTTGTTATTGAAAATTTGCATAGAACATAGATCATAGAAATGTAGAAAGAAGTAAAAATAAGTAATCATATTTTCACACCCAAAATGAGCCACTATTAACAGTTTGGTCACTCTAGTCATTTTTTTTTTTTCATATTGCAGAATCTTATAAACTGTAAAAAGGTACTTAAACTGAATGGTAATAAAATCGCGCTTAGATTTAGGGAGCTGCAGGAATAAAGCAAATGTTTATATTGTATTATGCATGCCAGATATTGAAAAATATTTTGTTTTGCTTTCCTAAAATGTGTCCCTTGTTCCTGAAGGAGTCCATTATCCTGAGCTACAGTCATATGAATAATGTGGTGCTTCAGACATCCACCTAGGGCCATTGGGGAAGCAAGAATTCTCTACCATTCTCACTGGACTTAAGCTGAAAACATCATGGTACAGTCACTTCAAAGTTAACAAGAGCACTACTGATCTGATCTGTGTGGGGACAGAGGCTCAAGAGCACATTTGATGATATTTCTGAGACAGACTAGCCTGTGGATTGAGCACAGCTTGACAGTTAAGAGATGATGAACTAGCTTCTCAATCACAATTTGTTAAAAAAAAATGTTCACGGTAACATGCTCACCTAGCCTCCTTTGTGACTTGAAAATAAACTATTTTCTTATTTCTGAAAAGTACCCTTTTTTTTTACTTTTTTCTTTTTTTGACAGTGGTAAGGATGAGAGAGCGTATGAGGGAACTGGATAACTCTGACAACATCCACATCCTTATGTAGAGGAAATTGAGCTTCGCTTTTCTTTCACCTTAATCACGACTCGGGGTGTCCATAATCTCCAGCGAATAAAAAATGAATGTGAAAGACAATGGAGAAATTCCACAAACATATTATCTCAACTTCTTCCCAGTTCTCCCCTGGCCAGCAGTTTTTCTAGTGAAGGGGATCAGTAGAGAGGAGGTAGCTACACTTCATCAGCTAGATGCAGATCTGTTCTCTCAACACCATCAAGTCTTATCAGGAAAGATATCCCTGATCACCTTGTTAAAGGACAAATGCCCCCACTCCTCACCATCTAGCCCCTTTCCTGACTTTATTTTTTCCATAGTATTTATCTTCTTCTTTTACACTTTTTTGTTGTTGTTGTTGTGGAGGAAGACTCCCCCCCCTGAGCTAACATCTGCTGCCAGTCTTCCTCTATTTTGTATGTGGGTCATCACCACAGCATGGCTGATGAGTGGTGTAGGTCTGCACCAGAGATCCAAACCCACGAACCCGGGCCGCTGAAGTGGAGTGCCCTGAACTTAACCACTATGCCACGGGGCCGGCCCCTCTATTACACTTTTTATTAGTATTTATTTTGCTTTTTATCTGTCTCCCACTCTAGAACTTAAGCTCCAAGGGATTTTTATCTCCTATTTTTCAATAGGTACATTGTCTGTTTAGAATAGTAACTGATGCATTGTAGATGCTTAATAAATATTTGTTGAATGAACAAATCTTAGTTTTCATCAATGAAAGCATGATTGATGTATTAACTTTGTCATGATAGAATGATTCAAATGGGTACAGATCTGTATATTTGTTTAGATTTTTTATATAGACTATCATGCAGTCTGTGACAAAAACAGTTTTACTTCTTCCTTTCCCAATCTGTATGCTTTTATTTCTGTTCTTGCCTTATTGCATAATTAGATCTTTTAGCACAATACTGAATATGAGTGAGAGGAGAACAAGCCTTCATTTGTTCCAGATGTTATGGGCAAAGGATCCAGTCTTTTACTATTAAGGAAGATGATAACTGTAAGTTTTTTGTAGATGCCCTTTAATCAGATTGAAGAAGTCTTCTCTAAGTTTCCTGAAAGATCTCATCAGAAACAGATGGTGGATTTTGACAGTGCTTTCTCATGTGTCTATTGAAATAATCCTTTTTTTTTTAAGTTTGTTAATATAGTGAATTGTGTTATTGATTTTTCCTTCTTTTTATTTTGGTAAGATACAACGTGAAATCCACCATCTTAATCATTTCTAAGTATACAGCCCAGTGATATTAAGTACATTCATAATATTGTACAACCATCACTTCCATCTATCTCCATAACTCTTTTTATCTTGTGAAACTGAAACTCTGTACCCATTAAACAATAACTTCCCATTGCCCTCTCCCATCAGCCACTGGGAACCACCATTCTACTTTCTGTCTTCATGACTGTGACTACTCTAAGTACCTCATGCAAGTGGGATCATACAGTATCTATCTCTTTGTGACTGGCTTATTTAACAGCATGATATTCTCAAAGTTCATCCACGTTGTAGCATATGTCAGAAGTCCCTTCCTCTTTAAGACTGAATAACATCCCATTGTATGTATATACCACATTTTGCTTACCCATTCATCCTTCAGTGGACACTTAGGCTACTTCTACATTTTAGCTATTGTGAATAATGCTTCTATGAACATGGGTGTACAAATCTAATAATGTGGTAACTCTGGAAATCAGATTCTTTCCCTTCACCAGGGTTTGTTGCTTTGTGTTTGTGTTTTGTGTTTTTGTTTTTTTGATTATTGTAGGCTGTCTTTGTGCTTAGAATTAGCCTTCAGTGTGAATCTAAGATCTTCTCTGAGCCTTTCCCTGGACATGTGTGGTCACTTTCTAATTTTCCCTTCATATGCAATTGCTTTTGAATGACCTAGTCTCTAATCTGGCTCCCAAAGGGAGAAAAAGAGAAAAATGACCGAGAAGAGAAGGGCACCAGCCCTGTAAATCTGAAAGTCACTTCAGCCATTGAGGGAGGGGCTTGCTACAAAGAGGGGAGCTACAACAACAATATTCACCCACCTCTCTGATCAGAAGCACCAATCAGTGATCAGAGAACAGATCCCCAATATTTGAAGGACAGGGTCCTTTTTGTCCATCCTGGATCCTGCGAGCTGTGTGCAAGCTGCTCCAGGAACGTGTGCACAGCTGCTTGGTACATGGCTGGGGGTGGCGGGTTGAGAGCTGCTACTGGGCTAAGACTGAAATTGACTGAAATCAACCACAATTTACTCTTCAAGTCTTCACCTGGAAGTTGTAAGCCTTCAATAGACTCCAGAGTTCCAAAATAATTACATGAGACAAATTCTGCCAGTGCAATTGTTTTCCAGGTGGGGAGACAGATTTCCCGTGCTTCCTACTCCACCATCTTCCCAGAACCCTCTTTTACATTATTGATTTTTGAATGTGAAATTAATTTTGCAGTCCTTAGTTAAATGCCATTTTCTGATGATGTAATATCCATTTTGCATATTTTTTGTTTCGATTTACTAAAATTTTGTTTAGACATTTTAAACCTATGTTTGTAAGAGATATTGGTCTGTAGTTTCTTTTCTTGATATGTATTTGTCTGGTGATAATGGCCTCTTAGAGTGAGTTGTGAAGTATTTCCTGATTTTCAATTTTGTGGCAAATTCTTACTGCTATGTAAATTTTATTTCCCTTTTCCCCTCTGTTTCTTTCTTGCTTTTTCTAATGGTGTTTTTGTGTGTAGAGCCTAAGTTTTTATGTTTGCTTGTTTTACTACTACTTATTTTAAATAAGGTGAATCCTTCCCAAATAAGTGGTATTTTGTGAACACTTGGTATTTAGGAGGAACCAGGGCACTATCTTGGCTAGTAAAAAGTATTCCTGGCTCACAAGCAAACCTCTGTTTGAATCAGGGTTTCAGTGTATCTTGCAGATAGTTACTCATCGTTTCAGTTGACAAAGATGAGTAGCCATAAGTCGGTTGCCAGAGTTAGCAAAAAAAAATACAGAATACCCAGTTAAAGTTAAATTTCAGATATACAACAAATAGCTTTTTGTGTGTGTGTAAGAATGGCTTGTGCAATAGCTGGAACATATTTATGCTAAATAGTATCCCTTTTATTAAATCTGAACAAATTTAACTGGATATTCTATTTTTTTTTTCTGAAAACCCTACCCACAGGGCCACAGACCACTCACAAATTCGCCTCTGTAATGTGATGCGTTTGGCCACATGACATATCTATGAGTCTCCCTCTTTATGCCATGATTCCTGCAGCACTGCCTGCCTCCATGTACTGTGGGTTCAAACAGGGGATAGGGAGGCTCCAAACCTGGGAAACTCACACTGGACCTACACAAGTACTTCTAGGCACTCTTCTTTGTATACTGCCTACTTTGGAGAGATCTGTTCTCTTGAAGAAGTCCCATCTCCATGTCTTCCTTCACCCTAATAAGTACGCCCACTACACTGCCTCTTTTTTTTTTTTTTTTTTCAGTTTTTTCCTATACTTTGCTGCACTTCACATAATTTTGGTTTTAAGTACTTACTATTACCGCTGAAGATGAAATATCCATTTGTTTCTCCCTTTCTTCTTTCTCATTGCTTTCAGAACTGGGTAGAGAAATGTTTACTCTGCCAATTTACATCTGGAGGTCTGTCTATTCTATTTAATAGTTTCATCAGTATCTATTTAGTTTAATTTTCTTTCTATTTTGGTACCATTGTATTTCCCCATGTTTTTCCTAGAGTATATTTGTTAAAAACATGTCTATTATTTTGCAATGTTCCGCATCTTAGAGTTATTTATGCATTTTCCTATCCCATATTGACCCCTCACTCCATACTTTATATTTTATTAATTTCTGGGTTTTTATCTTCATTATCTTTCCTCAATATTACATTGCTTTGGGTTGGGTTTTATTTTTGCTATTTCTATATCTTTTTAAATTGAATACTTTACTTTTTTTACTCACTTCTTTGAAAAAGTGGAAATATTTAAAACTATTAATTACCTATGAGAAGTTATCAATGTTCTATTAATTTGGATGTGCTATATTGTTATTATTATTCCCCTTCCAAGGTTGCTTATTATGTTTAAATTTGTGTTTAAAAAAAATGGTGATGTAACAGCATCCCCTTCCCCCAATTCTAGGAAACTAAATATTTTTAACTTAAATATTATTATACTATAGCCTGCTTATTTCTTGGTTTCCGCATTGTGTGCAAAGAACTGTAGAATATATATTTTTTTTATTTTGGTGACTTTTCTTTTTGGTAAGTAAATAGTAGGAAAGTAGTTCTAATATAATATTGTAGAAAAAATGGACATAATTTTCCCCTTGATTACCTATCTTTCTTTGGAACATAATCTTCCTACAGCTTTAGAGGCAGCAATGTACTATTTACCACCTGATCTCCTTCCCTCAGCATATCTTACCTTCCAGAAGATGGACATCTAAATTGAGATGAACTCAGCAATAATTCAGGGACAGTAGGAAATCAATAAGAATATCACCCTTGGTAATTTAAAACTGGGACATGAAATAACTATGCCAGTGAGCTATGGCTTCTGGGACTGAGAGCTAAAATATAAGAAGGCAGAATTTGGGGACACCTCTATTGGGAATTGTTGAATAACAAACTATCCAGAAACTTCACATCTTCAAACAATATTCATGTTTTAGCTTATCATTCTTTAAGGTCAGCAAATCAGGTGCATCTTGGCATGGCTCCATCATGAATCTTTGATCAACTGTGGATCAGGTAGGCAACTCTGTTTTTGGGGGCATGGCTGGCTATCAACTGGATCACTTTGATTCTTCTCTCTTTGTCTTATTTCTATATGTCTCTCATATACTTCCAGCTGCCTAGCCTGGCATGTTCTCATGGCAAGGCTGAAGCATATGCACAAGCAAGCCCAAAAGCCCAAGAAATTGTGCTAAACATGCAAGGCTTTCTGAGGCTTAGGCTCAGAACTTGTACATAGTCACTTCTACCATGTTCTATTAGTCAAAACAAGTTGGTCATCCCAAAGTCAGAGCTTGGCTGGGGCAAAGAGTATAGATATGGGGGGGGGATTGATTTGTGTCCAAATATTAATCAGTTACCACAGTCTTCCCCCTAGAACCAATCATTGCTGTCCTCATATGCAAAATATACTTACTCCTTCCCAAGACCCCCAGAAGTCTCATCTTATCTAACCATGTCCACAGGCTCAAAGCCCAGGAATTCATGGTCTATATTAGCTTTGAATGTGGATCTCCTTGATATGGAGAACTACGAGTGAAAGAAACAAATTATCCACGCCACCTACCCCACCATCTTCCAACCCACAAGAGAGTAGTGAAACAAGGAAAGACAAGAAACCAACATTAAACTCTCCCATTTGTGAAGAGGATGCATGGAAGACACATAGCAATTACTGTTTCTTAGCTATTCTGAAATTCCCTGGGCAAATGTTTCAAGAACCTGCAGTTCTGGGAATGGAAAATGCTCTTGATTAGGCCCTGGATCTACACCTCGTCTTACACTGTATCTTGCATCTACATTCAATTTGCTATTTACGCTGAGCCCATTTTTCTGGTGACACTATATTACTGGTTTAAGATGCTGTATAGGTCAGAAACAGAGTGGAAAGAAACTAAAAAGTTACAGGGAAAAGTTCATGGATAAAGAGAGGCTATTATATAGGGCCATCAAATAAATTTATCACAATATTCAAAATGGAGCTTGTGTTAACCTTGAGAAGAAGCTAGTCAGTATAACAAAGAAATAATTAAGAATATGGACCTCTGAGATAATTAAAAGATGGACCTCAGGGAGACAAGTGCAATGAAGGTACAGGGTGTGTGGTTAGACATTTTAGTTTCTGGGTTAAGTCCCTCATGTGTCTTCATTACATTCCTTTTCTTTGAGCTCCAAAAGAAAACCTGTATTCTTTTTCTCACTCTCTTTCTTTTCTGTAAGCTAGTTTTGGCAACATCTTAACCAAAACAGCATGTGCCTAAATCCTTTGTTGAAATAGAGAGAAATATGGTCTTCTCCTATTTGAATACTAGATATGTTGCAAGTTTTCCTTTTTTTTTTTTTTGATCTCCTTGGGCATATAAATGGAAATATGCTAGTACGAAACCATGTTAACTAGGTATACAAAAATTTATTTATATCATTATTACTAATATAATATGTATCCCCATTAAAAGAGTGTAGTGCAAAAAAAAGGGTTAACTATGATATTTCCTGGGTGCTCATACTATGAATTGTTTTTTTTATTTTCCCTGCTTACATGTATTTACTATTTTTAATGAGGATCACTCACAGATCCTTAGTGTTCAGTTCAGTTTCAACAATTCTATGTACCCTTGAAACCCCACAAAAACCAAGACAGAGACTATTTTTATCACCAAAGAAACTTCATCTGTGCCCCTCTCCTCTCTTCGCTACCCTTTCTAATGCAACTATTTCCCGTCTTTGATCATCATTAACTAGTTTTACCTGCTCTTGGAGGTTATATAAATGGAATTATAGACTCAATTGTGTGTGTGTGTGTGTGTGTGTATGTGTGTATCTGATTTGTTTTCATCAATATAATGATTTGGGGGTATATGCATGGTGTTGTTTCATTATCTCTTGAAATATGTTGTCTGCTCCATTTTCAATTTCCTTTCCTCTGGGGGTCCCATTATGTACATGTTAAATCGTTTGATCTCCTATAGATCTTAAACTCTGTTCTGTTCTGTTCCCACTTTTCTTCTCTTTAAGTTTCTGTTTCATACTTTCTATTTCTCTGTATCCAAATTCTCTAAATCTTTGCTCTGCCGAATCCAGTCTGCTGTTGAGTCCATATAATGAATTTTTCATTTCAGATATCATAATTTTCATTTGTAACGTTTCCATTTCATTGTTTTTTTTAAAGTTTCCATGTCTCTTGCAAAATTTCCCCATATACTTAAACATATGTTTCCCACATTTTCAACTATATCCCTTAGTATTTTTATCACAGTTATTTTAAATTCCCTGAATGATAATTTTACTATTTGAGCCATCTTTGCATCTACTTCACTTGACTCTTTCCTCTTTTGACTCTGGATCTCTCCCTCTCTCTCTCTCTGTTTTTGATTCTTTGTGAGTTTTGTAATTTGTTATTGTATGCTGATCGTTTATGTAAAAGAACAAGATAGACAGAAA